GGTTCCTCTGGCTCCTCCTAGGGCTCCTAATGGTATTTGTAAGAATACACCGGGCCTGAACGAAAACAACAAATCAGAGCCGAGGAAAATGGTGTATTGTTGAGTCTCATCCCAGGGCATCAAATATCGACACAAGGAATAAGACTAAAAAATCAACGATCTTCAAGCCTCCAACCCATAGTGTCTTTATATCTTTCTCAGTTCTGATTGGTTATTTTTGTAACTAGCTGTGTAACTGCTTACATTTCAGTAATAATATGATCTGCCAATACATCCTCATTTTTATTTTTATTAAAGTTTCCTACTGCAGCTTTAAGTGCAGTACTTTGCAATTTGTTACTTAAACAGTTTTTTGGGTCTAGTGTATCATTGTGTATTTGTTGTAGTTTTGTGGCGAAGCTGTTGTCTTGTTTGGCAGTCTGTCCCCACAGTTCCCTCGTGATAAACAACATTTCCATATACTATAAATGTGAGTGTAGAGTCTGAGTCGTTTGAACCAGCGGAGTGACATCATGTCCTTATGGAGATGTGTCCCGGTGAGGCCCCTCCCTGTCCCGGTGACATCAGCCAGAGCCGTGCTGCTTTCCTCCAGGAGAACGCGGTGGCTGTGCACACACACAACCAACAGCACCGGGAGAACTCGACGGAAACTGCGTCTGCTCGGCTCTTATCGCTTTTTCTTCATGGTACAAAACAAGACTTGTTCTTTACCAGGTAAGCTGCCATTTGCTGTCATATCCACCCCCTATGTGTGTGCTAAAACCGTTTCCCCCCTCAGCGTGGAAAAGTGTTGTAAATGTGTGAGAGCGACGGTTTTCATCCTGAAGCCAGAGAACGAGCTGCAACTTTTAACTGTGGGGAATGTCGCTCAAGTACTCCATATTTAGCGCTGTATGTGAGAAAATGACGGATAAACGAGAACAAACTGATCTGTTTTGGTCTTTCCAAGCCTTGAATGTATTCAGAGTTTAACGGTAAAGCTACATTTGTCTTCTTTTTTTCCCCCTGTGTCTCCGTTTGTTGGACCGTTGAAGCCCCAGAGCTCTGTGGGCGGAACCGTACCTGCTGGAAAACTACAGTAACGGTTTAAAAGCTGCGGCTCTCCGCTCCCTTAGTGGAATTATTAAAGTCTGTTTAAACCTGCCGTTTCAAGTTTAAACCTCGTTTGGAGCAAACTAAAGCCCGTTAAAGCTGTAATAACTGTGAGACACTGAGCTGTAGCAGTGTTATAACCTCGGTCCGTTGAGTCTCACTGTAATGCTAATGAAGCCAGTGTCTCGGTGGTCTGACTGTAGCTGGAGTGGGACTGTGGGTGACACTGGTTGCCATGGCAGTAAATAACACAACTCCACTGACATCGTCATCTTTATCGTCCTCACACGAAGCACGGATCACACAGGGTTCAGTACGGAAGCCCATATCCGCCAATGTGACGGAAAAAAAGATTTTGTAATTGTTATTATAATGAGACATTTTCTTAAAATTTTGACAAACGTTTCCAATATTTTGACTTAGTATTTCAAAATAATGACATTATGATACCGAGTCATTATCCACATAGTCAAAATATAAAGATACTAGTATATTTATTTGAAATATATTGAGAAAGTTTTTCATTATTTTGAGATGCTAAGTCAATATTTTGAGAAAACTTCTCATTCTCATTATGTCACACTGGCTGAAATGGGCTTCCATAGTTTAGACAGCCAAACCAGGTAGAAGCTGTGGAAGGCAGCAGCCAGAAAAACATAAAGAGGGAGGTGGAAATGGTGAAAATTAGAGCTGAAATGATTAAATTGTGCCAGGGCCAATCTTGGGGACTGCAAGGAGGTGCCAGGGGGGCCACAGTGGATTTTCTTTAGGGAAAATGTAGGGGGATGCAAAATATAAATAAATACATAAAATAATAATTATGTGTATGTTATAAAATATAATTTACAATAATATATTGAAATCTTGTTTGCCATGCCCGTCTTTCTAATTGCCTGCCTCTCAAAACATTATTCATCATATAGAATGTCATTGTGTGACCAGTGCTGTAGTGGAGGTTTTTTCTTAAGGGACCCCTTTTCATTGACTAAACTGACGACTAATGACATATTTTATGGATATTTCATATTATATTCAATGCATAACAAGAGAACAACTGATAAATTGTACAATGAACCCAAACAGTGAACACAGAGATGAGTTTTCCTGATATTTTTAGGAACTTCATACAATTCTCTGTCTGTATTATGTATTTATTTAGTTTTTTAACAATCATACATACTTAATAGGCTTCTTTATTGACAAATTGAGTGTTTTCTTTTACCTGATGCTTGTTCTGTTAGTTCTTTGCTTGTTAACTGCATACGTATTTACTGCAGGACAATGAGATACAGGCCTACTGTGTACATTTTTTAAGTTTTCCTACACACCTTAAAATCCAGAAGGTCTTGCGACCCCATGTAAAGCTTTGGCAGTCCTAGTGGTTGTCCTGACCCCCAGGTTGGGAACCACTGGTGTAGTTTTGCCTGAAGACTTGGGTATACTCACAAGTTATGCCCCCAAATTATATTATTTTTTGAAGCGAAATATAAACACCCTAAACACCACCCCATGCCTGCCACAAAGCAGCTCTGCTCCTGAAATTTAGCTAGCTAGCTTGCGTCTAAACCAAAAAGGTGAATGTTAAAATTCTTATCTTAATAGTCTACCTTCTGTATTTTCTGGAGTTTTCCTGTGCAGTGCAAACAAACTGTTGTGGCCAATGGGTGACGTCGCGATAGGTTCATTGGTCAAAATCAAAGGTCACTGTGGGCTAAACATTTTTGGTCATAACTCAAAAACTAATGCAGTATGTTTGATGGGATACAACAATGAAGTGATGACATTTTTTATTAAGGTCAAAGGTCAACTTCACTGTGACATCATAATGTGCTGGCCATTATTCAACACCATAACCAAGAAACAGAAGGGAAGACTGTAACAATATTTCACAGTTAGTCGGATACTGAACTGGTGACACTCAAAGGTCACTGGGACAGAATAGGTTTCTAGCTATAATTTTAAGAAAAAATTATCAGATTCACACACGTTGATAATCCTTCATTAATCAAACATGTACATTCCATTTAGCCAAAAAACACATGTTATATCTTTAATTATATTCCTTCAAAGTCTTCACTACATATATTATATGAGTCTGGACACACGTGGACGTAAACTGCTACGTGATGGGTTGGCGGAGGGATACAACCACAGGACAGTAATTGTAGTTTCTTTCTGAGGTCACTCTGAAAGTTTGATATGAAAAGAGGATGTGATATTTTTAACATGAAACATAAACTGGGTGATTTCCCCACAGCAGTCAGTTTCTCTTAGATTTGACTAGACTGTTATTTACTCTTGATATAATTTTCATATTAGAAGTGTCTCATATGGCTCCAGCAGTCAGTGCAATATATGTGCACATTTCCAGTGAGCGGGACTTAAAAACGGTAACGATAAAAATGACGATAAATAAACACCAATTCAGCCTAATCTTTTTGACTATAACCAAAAATAATATAATAATAATAAACTATAACCAAAATAATAATAAAGGCTACTAAACTACATCAATTA